TCCTTGGTCATATGAGTTTTCATGTATGCTGAAGTTTACAACTGGACTTTGATTCTGCTTTGTTGACTTGATCTTTGTATCATGAACATTTTATTTGAATTACTACAGCTTTGTAATACTTATTGAACTAAATCTTTTCCCTTTTGTTCATTTTTACAATTGTCTTGGTTATTCTTGGACTTTTGCTTTTTCATTTAAATTTTAGAATATGTCAAACTTAAAAAAACCCAAAACTTACGGATTGCACTTTTTCTTCTTCTCCTCTCCATAGGCAAGGTTCTTACAGGCCTTGATGCATATTTCTAAGGAATGGGTTTTGAAGCAATAACCAATAGCAAATTCAATTTCTCCGGTGACATTAGCATTGTCAAAATTGCCCATCTCTGTACAAGTGCTGTTGATGCTAATTAAACTTCCCTAAAATCAAGAAGAACAGATATAATAAATTACTTCAAAGTTAATTCTTTTTTTTTTTTTTTTTTTTGCAGTTCTGGTTTCAAGATAGCAAACAAATCAAAGCTCACAGAGCACACATCCTGCCTCACGTTTAGTTAATAATGCACCAGCTTGTACTTTGCCAGAGCGAGTTGCCACATGTCCCATCCCAAGGAGACAGGGAATCCTCAGAAGATCTGTTTTGACCAGATGTGGTCTTTGCCTGGCAATAAAGGTTACACAATCTTATTCTTTAACACCGAGTTGCTTGGGGTGAAATGACTATCTCCTTATTCTGCAAGATAATTCTCAGGAGGGCAGATGACGTCCGTGGCAGGACAGTCGTGCAGACAGTAGCACTGCATGAGCTAAGGACCTGTGGTTGGGACAGACCTGGATTCAAACGCAGGTTCTGCTGCTCACGAGCTGTGTCAGAGTCTAACTGGAAAAAAATATACTGATCCCATAGGGTTATGGCGAGAAATAAATGGCACAAGGTGTGTGAAGTGTGCAGTCAGAGGTCACACTAAATTACATTAAAATTTTCTGGGCACCTAACATAAAAAACGAAGCTACCATCACACATGAGGGCATCGCAAGCTTATATGATGCAGGTAAGAAACACAGAATGCCTGTGCCTACGAGACACAATAAACCACCTTACCACTCCCAATGTGCTTAAATCTCTGCCGCCATTTGCATGCAGCCAGTCTCAGTGCTGACTTGATGGGAACAGAGGAACCTAACTGATTTCTACTTCTAATTTCCAACTAACTCCTCCACACTGCAAACATCCTATAAAGAAACTAAGAAAGCCTGGGGGCAGAGAGACGAAGCACTAGGGAGAAAGAGAAAGAAAAACCCATACCAACAACACTCCAAAGGGTCTGAAACCTGAATTAACGAATGCCAAGAACACAACCAGCTTCATCACACCCAGTCACTGGCTCTGTAAAATGTCATCCGTCAACACCACTCAGCTGTTAAAATATAAAACAATCTAAAATTTTTACACACCAGAAAAGGCACAGCATAGTAAGACAGCGTGAAGAAGTGAGCTATAAAAACTGAGGACAGGAGAGAATGGGAGGCAGAGCTTGGCAGGAGGCGTGAGCTGCCTGGGAGAAGAACCAGGTAGATGAACGGAAGTGCTAGAAAATTCTGATAACTAAAATGGCCTTCATCGTGGGACTTTTCTTCAGGCTATGCCATACTAAATTGTATTATACCAACTTTTCTGCCAAGAACAATTAGAAAGTTGAATCAAACCATCAAATGAATTGTTTTAAGACACTGGATGGCTACCCAAGACAGCCAGAACATAAGGATCCAAGATGGTACAGAGAACAGAAGCACACTGACTCAAGCCTGACATCCTGAGCTACTCTCCCCCTTGAGGCATCTGTCCGGAGGTGAGCAACGCAGGGCTGGAAGGCTGAGAAGTCGATTTAAGTGAAATAGCTAAGAGACCCAGAAGCTGAGCAAAGTGTTTAACAGTCTGACAGGGCTGGGAGACAAAACTTAGCATTCTAGGCTAGCAAGTCATGCAGAATTTGAGCTAAGTTCCCAGAGGAAAGAGAAATTCACCAAAGAGAGAGACACAAGATGCCGCTTCTCCCTCAGGGTGTTTGTTGAATTGCAAGCTGTGGCGGAGAGCCTGAGAAGCTTAAGAATGCCTTCAGAAGTTTCAACATGCTAGGGAGAAAAAAAACTGGAGTTTGGGCCCACCACAGAGAAGGGGCTTGGTAAACATCTAGACTTTCCAGGCTGGGACCCTTCAAAGGCTTTCTTACTAGGAAGAAGAGGCAACTGGAAATAGACCAGTTCTCAAAAGCCAAAACCAAGCTTTCATTGAGCTCAACCCCAGACTGGATAAAGACTATTTGACTCAGCTCTGACTGTCTGCTGAAAGCACAAGTGAGTTCTCTATGAAGGAAGATAACATATTTTTTGAGTTTCAAGTTTTTCATATATCATGTCCAGCATTCAATAAAAAATTGCCATGTATACCAGGATTAAAAATTAACCAACTGTCCCAGTTTTCTCAGGACTAAGGAATTTTCTTGGATGTAAGACTTGAAATGCTAAAACCAGGGGAGTCCTGGGTGAACCAGGGTGGTTGGTCATCCTAAGTTCCTACGATCCAGGAGTAAGTGACCAAAACCAGAGGGGGAAAAAAACCCCACAATACAAGTAGACCCACAGATGATCCAAATAATGGCATTACAAGACATGAACTATAAAATAACTGTGATTAATGTATCAAGAAAATATAGGACAACAAGAAAGAATTTCTCCAGAGAACTAGAATCTATAGTAAAGAATCAATTATAAATTAAGGCCTAAAAACTAAGGTAACTGAAATTAAGAACTCTATAAATTAATTTAACATAAGATCAGACATAGCTGAGAGAAGAAGCACTGGTAGAAGAGAGGATTGGTAAACTGGAAAATGAGTTAATAGAAAGCATCTAGAGTGGAGCACAGAGAAAAAGATGAATAGAAAATAAAGAGTGTAAGAGACATATAATGAAAAATTATAATGTAAGTTTGGAGTCTCACCTAGAGAAAAAAATGGGGTAGAAGGTATATTTGAAAACATAATGGCTAAGAATTTTTCAAGACTAACAAGAGGTGATAAATCACAGTTTAAAGAGGAAAAATATTTTTTAAAAATAAAACTGTACACACCAGTACCTCATAATAAAGTTGCTGAAAAATCAAAGACAAATTCTTAAAGGCAGAACTAAAAGGATCTATTACCTTTGATCAAGGAAACAATAAGATTTAGCCAGTTGACTTCCAAACAGAAATGGTAGAAGCCAGAAGACTTCATTAATCCAAAAAGAGTCATGAAAAGGAGTGGAGCAGAGAAACACAGAGCAGAAGGAAAAGAGACCACAAACAGAAAAAATAGGAAACAAGAAGATAAGATAGATTTAAACCAAAATATATTAGTAATTACAGTAGAACAGACCACATGCTACGACTGAGTTTAAAAATATCTGACTAGGCCAAGCACAGTGGCTCACGCCTGTAATCCTAGCACTCTGGGAGGTCAAGGTGGGTGGATCACTCAAGATCAGGAGTTCGAAGCCAGCCTGAGCAAGAGCAAAACCACGTCTCCACTGAAAATAGAAAGAAATTAATTGGCCAACTAAAAATATATAGAAAAAATTAGCTGGGCATGGTGGCACATGCCTGTAGCATCAGCTACTCGGGAGGCTGGGGCAGGAGGATCACTTGGGCCCAGGAGTTTGAGGTTGCTGTGAGCTAGGCTGACGCCACAGCACTCTAGCCCGGGCAGAGTGAGACTCTGTCTCAAAAATAAATAAATATCTGACTATATGCTATTTAGAGGAGACGCAGCTGAAATGCACATGTACAGAAAGGCAGCAAGTAGAGGAAGTTTCCTTTGGAATTTGAGAGGGAACAAGCCAGACTGGGTTGGTTAACACGTGAGTGGGAGCAGAAAACACAGGAATGCCAAGCGCAGACGACTCTGACAAGGTTAGCTCGGGAAGAGAGAAATGGTAGCTGGAGGGGGTGAAAAGTTGAGTGAGGATGTTTTATTTCAATTTGTTTTTTTGTTTTTTGTTGTTGTTGTTTTTTAGATAGTCTCACTTTGTTGCCCAGGCTAGAGTGAGTGCCGTGGCATCAGCCTAGCTCACAGCAACCTCAGACTCCTGGACTCAAGCGATCCTACTGCCTCAGCCTCCCGAGTAGCTGGGACTACAGGCATGCGCCACCACGCCCGGCTAATTTTTTCTATATATATTAGTTGGCCAATTAATTTCTTTCTACTTATAGTAGAGATGGGGTCTCGCTCTTGCTCAGGCTGGTTTCGAACTCCTGACCTCGAGCCAGAGTGCTAGGATTACAGGCGTGAGCCACCGCGTCCGGCCTGTTTTGTTTTATTGAGAGAGACTTGAATGTGTTTAAAGCCAGCGGGAAGGATCCAGGCGAGCAGAGGCTGAGTCTATGAAGGAGACGAGGACTACATAATGGAGCAAGGCGCACAGACGCAGGGCTGGGGGCATCCAAAGCATCACTGGGGAATCGGCATCTCCCACAGTGGGCGGGGAAAGGACAGTGGGTTGGGGGCAAGGGCAGGCAGGTTAATTTTGGCATCAGGAGGCTTAGAAAATTCCAACCCGATTCTTTTCTTTTCTCTCTTGGTACATACAGCAGGGAGGGAGGGAGGTTTGTTGAGAGGGAGGAGGAAGAGTGAGTTTGGGAAGACTGGAGGAGGTGTGGAGTAGGTATGGGAGCAGAGAACTGAGCTCACCAGATGAGCTTGGCAGTGCGGGGTGTGCTTGGAGCAGGTGACGCGACAGGGCAGACCTCAGCCCTGGGACGTGCGTGTGAGCGCGCTGGGCTGGGTCTTCCCTGCTGGGTGCCTGCCCCCGGGGCACGGCTGTTCAGGTGCCCGTGTGAAGGTGCACCAGGTTGGCGCCCGGAGTCATAAAGCACCGGGGAGCACCACTCTTACTCACCCTTCACTCTCTAAGTAGATGAGCAAAGGTCAAGGCAGGTTGAGACACACCCAAAACTGCACTGCGAATCAGAAGTAGAGCTGGAAGTGGACCTGGATCCTAATTCACTGGGCCATAATTTACGGCGCTGTCTCTGAGTAGCAACTGCTGTGCCTGCTCAGCAGGGAGGGGCAGGATCCACCCTCAGATGCTTAGCGCCCAGCAGAGCTGGTCCTCCAGTCACCTGCGTCCCTCAGAGATGCCTCAGCGCGGGGCTCCTGCCTCCGCTCTCCCGAGAGCCAGAACAGAGCCCTTGAGCAGGTTCCAACTCTAAGTCAAGCAAAAGGTTCTGGCCCAGAAGAGCAACCAGGAACCGGGCTGGACTTTCATGAAAGCCATCGGCGCTGTTTGGGCTTGAAAGGAAAGTCGGTCCGGGCAAAAGCAAAGGAGAACCACCCGGGTAGGCAGGACACCTTCTTGCCAGTGAGTTCCTCTGAAGGTCACAGA